AGATTCAAGCTCTCATTGACAATGCCGTTAGATCGGCACTGTCGCAACAACAGTCCCAGATAAATTCAATAACTCAGGAAATACAAAGGTTGCAAGTGAAAACGCCAGCAGTCGTCTCTTACCAAAAGATAACTGTTGTTCCTGGGGTAAAATGTGACATAAAACTCGACATAATAAAATCAGTACCAGACTTCTCTGGTGCACAAGACCAATATGTTGCTTGGAGACAAGCAGCAATCGATGCGTATGAACTTTTTAAGCCCTTCGACGGTAGTAGCGAACACTACCAAGCAGTAGCCATTCTTAGGAACAAGGTCACAGGGCCTGCTGGAGCCTTACTTATCTCCTACAACACGGTGCTAAATTTCGACGCCATCCTGGCTAGACTAGATCCTAGATCCGACCGAACATCCTTACGCCTACTGAGGCAAAACTTAGACATGGTCAGACAGGGTGAAATGACACTTATGCAGTACTATGATGAGGTCGAAAAGAGACTAACTCTGGTAACTAATAAAATTTTTATGTCACACGAACAAGAAGGCGCTCATTTGCTTAACGCTGAAGTTAGAGCCGATGCCTTGCACTCCTTCATATCAGGCTTGAGGAAACAGCTCAGAGCTGTCGTATTCCCAGCGCAAGCCAAAGACTTACCCTCTGCGCTAGCGCTCGCCATAGAAACAGAAGCCAGCATTGAGAGAAGCATGTTTGCAAACTCCTATGCTAAAGTTGTTGAGGAACGATCCCAAACAGCTGAAAACGGCAAACACAAACCATATGGTAAACAGAATAAAAACTACAAGGAAGACCACGGTCAAGATAGAAACCCCCATTACAAACACAAGAAAAATGCTCCAAAGGAGCAACCTAATAAAGAAAGCCAAGACCCAGCTCCACAACCGATGGAGGTAGATTCTTCTTCCAAATTTAGGCAGCGTACTGAATACAACCAGAACCAACCAAATGAGTCAAACGCTACTAAGAGGAGGAACTCCTCAGAGCGACAAACAGGTCCGAGACGGCAACGTCTTAACAACATTGTTCAAACGGATTCCGAAGAACAAAAACTAGCATACGAACAAGCCGCAAAGGCTGCTGTCGAAGAAATTGACAGCTAGGAAGAGTACGATCAAGCCGACTCTGTCCATTTTTTAGGGAACACTCCCGGTTACCGTTCATCGAACGACGGTTGGCTGGGAGAACATTAAAAATGCTAATCGATACTGGCGCGGCAAAAAACTATGTTAAGCCCGTAAAGGAGCTGAAAACCATATTGCCGGTCGCCAAACCCTTCTCGGTGAATTCGATCCACGGGTCCACTGAAATAAAGGAAAAATGCCTGATAAACATTTTTAATCACACTTCCCCCTTTTTCCTATTAGACACACTTAGTTCGTTCGATGCCATTATTGGATTCGACTTGTTAACACAAGCCGGGGTACAGTTGAACCTTGCAAAGAGTCTACTAGAGTATCAGGGCATTTCTGAAGAAATTCAATACCAGAAGTGCACTGATGTAAATTTCACCGAAGTCCTCAACAACGACTGCTGCTGCAACGCATCCGCATATGAATCAATCGCCAGGCGGACAAATCACTCTTGCTACTGCAAAGGTAGTAGTACGAGATTCATCAGGGGCGTATAAACAAGGCAGAGCATTGCTTGTCCCTAGTTCCCAAGTCAATTTCATGACGGATCAATTCGCCCAGCGGCTGCATCTACGCCGTAATAAGCATCAGTTCGAAATCCGCAGCATAGGGGAGTCCTTGACTAAAATTAACAACTGTACAACTACTGGCAGTAAAAACGTTTGTCACCATTTGAAGTAACAATTGCTTACCAGCCGGATTCGGAAATCGACACGTCAGATTGGAGGTTGCCCGCGAATACGCCACTTGTGGACGAAACTTTCCACAGGTCAGGTCGGATTGATCTCCTTCTCGGTACCAAGGCATTTTTCGAATGCCTGGCTGTTGGACAGATCAAGCTCGGAGACAATTTGCCAGTCCTTCAGAAAACGTTGCTTGGATGGGTTGTGTCTGGCAAGTATCGTCATCAGTCAGCTAAGCAGTCATCAACGTGCTTTATTTCTGTGGAAGAGTCAATCGACAAAAATCTTCAATTACTGTGGAGCATTGATGCTATACAAAGTTCTCCAAAGTCAATCAATCCGAAACAGCTCTGTGAAGATATGTATTCAAGGACAACACAGATGAGTAACGGCAGGATTGTTATGCGTCTACCTTTCAAGGGAGATCCAACGTGCCACGGGAATTCAAGCGATGTTGCACGTCGTCGATTTTTATCGCTCGAGAGGTGCCGCAGCCAGCAGCCAACTGTTCAATCGCAATATGTAACTTTCATGAAAGGGTATGAGTATCTCGGCCATATGACTTATGTGACGAATCCGAGATTAAGTGAGCCACACTTTTACATTCCTCACCACTATGATTTTAAACCCAGCAGTGCATCAACGAAGTTACGAGTCGTGTTTGACGCCTCGTGCACTACATCATCCCAGCATTCATTGAATGATTTGCTTCTCGTTGGCTCAATGTCTATAATTCTCCTTCGTTTTCGATTGGTACGTTACGCCATTACAGCGGACATTACGAAAATGTTTAGACAAGTTTTAGTCAGCCCAGTGGATCAGAAATTTTAATATATATTTTGGAGAGCATCCCCTGATGCTGATTTACAGACCGGATTGGCACTTTGAGCTAAATACAGTGACGTATGGAACGGCCTCGGTCCCATACTTAGCAGTTCACAGTTTGCAATATCTAGCACATCTGCATCCATTGTAAAATCATCGTTTTATGTTGCTCCTTTGCTCCGCAAAGCAGATCATCGAGTTGCAGAACATTAAACACGAGGTCAACGAGATCCTTCGCCGAGGACAGTTCCCATTGGTTAAGTGGCACTCCAATCACTCCCGCCGTCAAAGACGATGAATCGGTAAAGGATTTAGACTTGGATGAAAACGCTAGCGCACTTGGCGTAGCTTAGCTGATGTGCTACTATTTGAATTTAAGCCCAAAAAATTGAATTCAACAGCCACCGACTATTCTCTCGACTGCGTCTTCTCTGTTCGATCCATTGGGATTACTGGCACCAATCATTATCGTCTCGAAAATCATTATACAGGAGCTATGGCTGCTAAAAGCCGCACAGCGCGCACTTCTGGTCTGATTCACAGATTGTCTTGCACTGGCTGCAACAACATTCTATTACATTTTCGACATTTGTTGGTACATAATAACACAATGAACCCTGCGTTTCTGCGTGATTCTGAGAATCAATGGCCCTGCCAACATTTTGACAATGATTTGGACATGGACATTATCGATGCTGAAAAACGGAAATCTATATTTGCTGCAATTATCGAAAGTAATTATATTCTGGACTGGCTGAACGTAAATAGTTCATATATTCGGACGCTTCGAGTAATGGCATATATGTTCCGGTTTTACCATATTACCAAAAAGGAAAAACCTGTCGAAAATTCGCCGCCATCCCCAAAAGAACTTTTCCACGCGTTGCACTGCATCATCTGGATCATCCAAGACCGCTATTTCCAGTAAGATTTGCAATTGCTAAGGACACGAAGAGATTTGAAGTTTCTCAGCCCCTTCATTGACGGCGCTTCTGGAATCGAGCTTATCTAGGTTGGCAGCAGACTCGAGCATGCTGATATCCCCTCTCGTCAAAGGCATCCTTTACTTGTTCCCAAGGAATTGCAATTTGTCCACAATTATGTTCGGCATATACACTTGCGCAATTACCATGCAGGACCAAAGGCATAAGTTGGACTACTGCGGCTTCATTTCTGGGTCGTAAATGCAAGAGCTTTATCGCGCAGCATTGTTCGTTCTTAAAAACACTGTGTCAGATATCGTCCAGTTCCACTTCGTCAAGTCATGGGTTCCCTGAGCGCTTATCCACAGACAAACCCTTTTGCTACGTTGGAGTCGACTTTTGCGGACCAGTGAACACCTATCTTCGAATACGTGGCAAGGGTCCCACAAAATCCAATATCGCCATATTTGTCTGCATGGCCGTAAAGGCCGTTCACATTGAAATCGTGTCAGATCTTTCAACGAATAAGTTTTTGGAATCGTTGAAACGCATGATTGCCCGTCGTGGACCAGTATCGTACATCTATTGTGACAACGCCACAAATTTTGTGCATCCAACAGGCTACTCGAGTTAAAGAAGTTCATGTTCAACACTAGCACTCAAGATGCCAACCTATCATATTGTTCGTCTGAAGAAATAACCATTCATTTCAATCCACACTTTGCCGGTCTTTGGGAGGCCACTGTCAAGAGCGCAAAGGGTCTGCTCGTGCGTAGCCTCGCTAACACCCGGTTCACCTTTGAGGAGCTGAACACCGCAGTCGTTGAGATAGAAGCAGTACTCAACTCTCGCCCGCTGTCACCGCTTTCATCTGGTCCCAACGACTTTAGTGCACCCACTGCAGGACACTTTAAATGGAGATGCACCACGCGCTTTGCCCGAGCGTGAGATTATCACCAACGACATCTCCAACTTGGATTGTTACGAGCGGATCACAGCTGTTAAACAGCCATTTTTGCGACGTTGGTCTGCGGAGTATGTGAACGAGCTTAGAGCTTGGACAAAGTGGACTTCGGTATCCGCAAATCTCACGGTTGGATCTATGGTCATCATACATAAGGACAACACCCCGCCATTGCACTGGAAATTAGGGCGTGTTGAATCTGTTGTGTGTGGCAAGGATGACCGCGTTCGTGTCGCATACATTCGCACTGCCTTTGGACTCTGCTGCCGGCCAGTACATAAGGTGGCTGTTCTACATGTCTCTTGAAAGATCGTTCTTATCTTATAAACCTCATATATATATTAGTTAGGGTATCAATAGCAATGTCCAAAGCAGATTATGTTAAGATTATGCTAACTCTCCTCTATTTTAATGCCATAAGCACTCATACACATGTACGAAGTCTCGCTCTCTTTCGAACTCTGTAATTGCTCGGTCCCTTGAATTTTAAGTTGTTGTAGTGTGTATATGCCTTAATCGAACACCCCATATGCAAATATAAAGTATGCGGCACTTTGTTGCATACAATAACATTTATTCAGTTAACAAGCCCAGAGCCACTTTTTGTATTGGCTCTGTCTCATATTACGCAGCGCGGTTCACTAGCCTCACTAGCTGACCTTTTATGCTTACGCTGCATATTCCACGCTCCGTCTGAGTGCATATCATGAGCAACATTTATATGCTCACTAACACAGGCATATGCAAGCTACACACTCTCCCTCTCTTTGTAGCTGTTAACTGACAACAGCATAAGTTTATACATGTTATCCATAGGCTAAGAACATTTCTGAATTCAGTAAAGACATTATTAATATCCAAGCCAACCAGCACTGACGTGTTACTGCGATCATTTCAAAATATGTTATATATACATTTTTATATCACATGGCGACCGTGAAGCTATATCAAAAGCCTGGAGTAGAGCAGACGAGCTGGAGCTGGAGCTGGAGCCGGAGGACTGAAAAATAAAATAAATACTGAGTGAGTACAGGACATGAGCTCTAGGGCAAACACCAAGCCCAGACGCAGTGGCATTAAGGAGCGAATCAGACGTAGAGAGTCTGAAATAGTAAGACTTCTATATAAATGCAAAAATCCCCTCCCATGGGATACTGCAGTCAAACTAAATGTCGAACTCGAACATCTCGAGTCGTTATTAAAATCAAAGAGCAAGCCCTGTCTCTCAGAAATTAAAGATATAAAACTAACAAACAATCATCGTCCACCGCCAAGAACGATACCAGCACGTCCACGCCGATGCCCACCAATAGTGAGGGTCCCCTCCACAGCCCCCATTGCGAGGGCGCATGCCGTATTCAGGAAACAATAGCACCAGCAGAGTCAACCATCGCCTGAGAGGCAGACCGCCTCTTATGCCTACGAGGGAATGCAAAGCAACTAAGACAAGTTACGGGAGTGGCAACAAAAGCACCCAATAACGAGATGACCGACAGCGCTGTAAACTTAAAATTAAACTGTTTATAAAACTGTAATGACGCCCACTATGTTGTGTGCGCCAAAATCACTGCGTTGATCGAAGTAGGAATTTATAAAAAAAAAAAGGAACAAAGGCCTTCTGACAAAATAGATAATATCCAAAAAAAACAACAAAAAGGAAAAAGCCAAATCAAAAAAAAAAACGAAATTAAGAAAAAAAAATATATAAAAATCTAACTTTTCGCAAAAATTTTTGTTATTCTTCGAATAAAAATAGAAGTTTTACAAATCAAACCATTATTCATGAAAACTTTTTTAACTCCCCCCTTCCACAGACAATTATACACGAAATACACAACAGTTAACGTTCAGTCAAAAAATTGAGCTTGTGCCCAAAATGAGGGCAGATTTTAAATAAAATTAATAAAGTTAATAAAAAAAAAAATGTTCTAAAATAGAGAAGGGAATATTCTTGCAAACATTACCCTAGTCAAATTCAAGAATCATTGTCGAAATGCGTGGAAAAGAATCCAAGGCAGATGATAACACTGCCAATGTAGTGAACGTGGTAGAAGTTGTAGATACCATGCCCCATTTGCAGTTAACAAACATACTGCTAGTTATACTCATCGTAATAGCTTCAGTGAACATCCTTCTGAATATGTATCTTCTGCATAAAAAATCACTTAGAAAACGTTTCATGAGTCGGGCTAACGACTTAGACTGGATTAGCTTAGCGGCATAGATGCAACCTCGATAAATCGTATAAGTGCCTAAAGAAAAGCGCACCAGTGTTGAGACCCACCATAATTAAACACACTGAGATCCTTGTATATGAATACAATGAAATCAGGAGTTTAGTTAATGAGTGGCAACACAAACTCACAAGTCTACACAGAGTCCAAACTTCAGATACTTTACAACGTCTAAGGGACAGTAAACTGGTAAACTTAAAAGAAAAATATCGACTCCAGCTTTAATTACCATCGGTGTTAAATACACCGGTAATCAACTGGCAATCAACCTAATAAAGACTAAGCTGAAGGGCTATGCCAGAAATTTAACAAGACATGAACAAACAATTGTACAAATAATTGATAAATTTACAGCAACAGTCAAAGCAGAATCAGTAGATGTAATTTCAGCGAAATTACTAAATCTCAAACAAAAAAATAAGACAGCCAACCAATACGTACAAGAAATAAAAATGTTGAAAAAGTCTCTGGAAGGAGCCTATATCAGCGATGGCTTATCATTAGATCTACCCACAAAGTACAGCACAACGCTGGCTGTCAAGGCAATGGCTAACAACGGTACCATTGATAAGGTAAAACTTATCATGCTGGCTGGCACATTCAGTAATATGAACGATGCTATGTCAACATTTGCACAGAGGCAACAGGACATTTGAACACTGTCCTATTCTATCAGCAACAACATAACAGGGGTAACCGTGGAAATTATCACAATCATGGTTATATTAACCACAAGTCTAGAGGCCGTGGCAACTCGAATCGAGACCATAACAATAACGTCCGAATTACGCAACACACTTCGGGAAACTTCGAACAACCTTTAGATACGCAACAATAGAGAACAAGAAGGTTTACACCATCAATCTCAATCTTAATATATTTGTATCATTTAATCATGTGGCAACAGGAAAAAACTCGTTTTTATAATAGACACAGTTGCAGACATTTTAACTTAACTTAAATTTTCCGATTTACGCTCCGATAACGTACAGTTCTGGTAATAACTCAATATTATTACCAGCAAGATCCCAAGTTGTCCTCAAAATCACAATGGCCTCAAGTGAAGAAAGTATACTAATTCCAAACCAGGAAATTCAAGCTGGTATTGCTAGTATACCATTGCACTTCTCAAAACAAATTTGTCCGACTTCTAAATACAACCAATACTAATCAATTTGTTGATATAAATGACTTAGAATATGAATCACTTTCGCACTACAATGTTGTTCAAACAAACACGAAAACCAGAGAACAAACTGTCATATCCCAATTATCGAAAGATTTTCAACAAATAATTTTACAAACAAAAATTGAGATTGAAGGATGATGAGCCAGAACAAACGGTCATATCCCAATTATCGAAAAATTTTCAACAAATAATTTTTACAAACAAAAATTGAGATTGAAGGATGATGAGCCAGATGAAAAATGAAAAATTATAGAAATCCTCATAGCCAAATACAAGAAATTCAAGCTCAAGTACAAAAGTTAATTGACGACAAAATAGTCGAACCTTCTGTATCAGGATATAATAGCCCGGTTTTGCTAGTTCCGAAAAAATCTCTTCCAGATTCAGAAAAGAAAAAATGGGGATTAGTAATTGACTATCGTCAGATTAATAAAAAGCTGTTATCTGATAAGTTTCCACTCCCCAGAATTGATGATATTTTAGATCAACTAGGTAGAGCAAAATATTTTTGATGGCTCGACTTAATGTCGGGTTTTCATCAAATTGAACTTGAAACGAGAAAGAAGTGCTATCTTCGGCACAGCGAAGATTTAATACCCTTGCAGACCCAACCTTTTCAAAATGCTCATAGTGCTTTGCCCGTATCTAAGAAGCACAGGGAAAATAGTTAATGCCGAGTATGGTTAAGATATCTTGAAAAACAAAACAGGTTTCCATACAACAACTTAATTTTCGACCGATTGTTCTTATGGCAGCTATATGATATAGTAGCCCGATGTGAATAAGATTTTGCATAAGTGGAGGGAGCATAGTAAAACTAATAAATGCCGAGTTTGGTTAAGATATCTTGAAAAACAAAAAATATTCCATACAACAGCATAATTTTCGACCGATCGTTCCTATGGCAGCTATATGATATAGTTGTCCGATCTTAATAGGATTTTGCATATATATGGGGAGCGTAGTAAAACTAATAAATACCGAGTTTGGTCAAGATATCTTGAAAAACATAAAAATTTTCCATACAAAAACTTAATTTTCGACCGATCTTTCCTATGGCAGCTATATGATATAGTTGTCCGATCTTGATAGGATTTTGCATATATATGGGGAGCGTAGTAAAACTAATAAATACCGAGTTTGGTCAAGATATCTTGAAAAACATAAAAATGTTCCATACAAAAACTTAATTTTCGACCGATCGTTCCTATGGCAGCTATATGATATAGTTGCCCGATCTTAACAAAATTTTGCACATATATGGGGAGCTAAGTAAAACTAATAAATACAAAGTTTAGTCAGGATAACTTTATAAACAAAAATATTTTTCATACAAGAACCTACTTTTCGACCGATCGTTCCTATGGCAGCTATATGATATAGTGGTCCGATCCAGCTGGTTTTGACATATGAGCTGCGTGCAACAGAAAGAGGGAATTCTGCAAAGTTTCATAAAGATAGCTTTAAAACTGAGAGACTAGTTCGCATAGAAACAGACAGACGGACAGACGGACATGGCTATATCAACTCGGCTGTTGATACTGATCAAGAATATATATACTTTATGGGTTCGGAGATGTCTCCT